AACACCTAAATGCATCTTAAGCACAAAGCCAGCACCAGCCAAGTAACTTCTGATCAGATAAGAAAATGATCTCTGCTGCAAGAAATGTCCCTTTCACAAACAATTGAATCATGTTATCAAATCCAAATAATATTTTGTCTCTACAGATAGATGTGCTTAGACTATTCATTATGGTGAAAACAGCTGTGACTCTCTCACATAATTCGTTTCTTACACTGTACTCTGTCAACTTTTCTGGAGGAGCATGAAGCTGTGAACCTCTGGCATCGAGGATATCAATCCATCTAAACATGGTACTTATGCTCCAAAAGTATGTAAACTGTCTGAGGTTAAATATAGCTTAGTAAAAAAAGGCCCTTGTGTTTACATGACTTACAAAAATAACAGCATTGAAATAACATTTGCTCTCTTTTTGTAAAGAAGATAGAGAGGTACAGAAAGCCTAGTTTATTACTAGCTATCAAAGTTATTTACAGTCAAGTCAAAGTTATTTATAATTTCACAGTTAACAAGTTGGGCACCTTTAATGCTGCCATCTAGGGTTGTGGCTGAGTTACTGCAACTCAACATGATTCAGCAATAAAGCTTGACATAAAACTTTGCACTTTCAATTGCCTCTGTGTTTAAAGGTGGGGTGGGTAATTTTGTAGAAACCAGCTCGAGTGCGCTAGAATTTGAAAATACACAGCCGGAAAAAATCTGCCACTTCCTTACAGAGCCCCTCCTCCAACACACACGAACGCGCACATGACCAATGAGTGCACGAGATAAGTTTGTGCACAGATGGAAGGCTGACAGGCAGGTAGGCCATCCAGTTACTTTAGCCGGGCCGGCTAAAATGATTGGTCATGCTTTTTACAGTACTACGGCTTCCACAGATTTTTACTCAAAGCACTTAAGATATTCATTGCTATCGGGATGTTAAGAGCATTCCATGGAATATAACAAAAAGTGTATCTCGAGCCGGTTTCTCAAACTTACCTACCCTACCTTTAAGGTGTTAACACAAAAACAAGCTTCACCTCAAGTCATGTACAATTTAACTTCACACCTATGACATATGATGTAATAAAGGGCTGACAAAATGTCTATTTTAGAAAACTAGTCTTTTCGGTTTTGTCTCCCAAAATCCAAAGTAAAATCATTAACAAGGGAAATACAAAAAAATAATCTTTTATTCAGTTAACATTTAAAAAACATGAACGGAGCTTGGCAGAAAAAATCATGTCTCCAATGGTTTGACAAACATCGCATCCACTTCTCTCTTTCTCATAATGAAAGCAGGAATAAAAGGGAAATAAAAAAACACTTTGCTGAAGATTTGCTCAAACATTTACAAATTCTTTAACAAAATGTGTATACAAATATTCATAAAATGTTTGCAACTAGAAATCAGTGGAAAGAACTCCAATTACCTTTCATTGAATGTATTCTTGTTTCATTCAGTCCTGTGTTGATTAACTTCTGTAATGATCACACAGTTATTTGTCCATGGATTGGGAGGAAGGGTTGGTATTGTTTTTTGTTGGGTTTTATTTGGTTTTCCGAAGAATATTGTTTTACCTTTTGTGTATAAAAAGTGCTGTATAAACTAAGTTGGATTGATTTATAAAAGCACGGGTATTCACACAGGTAAGGGAAGGATGGTCATCTTTGAAGAATCACAGCCTCCCTGCCTCCTTGTATTTGCTGAGCAGTCCGTCGTCCACCCTCAGGGGGAAGTACAGGGTCCGGGTCTTGTAATACTCGGGGTCGGACTGCAGGTTTTGGATGACGTCTGCGAGGAGGTGGGCCCGCTCCACACCGCAGCCCGGAGCCTCGTAGCCCAGCTTGGTGAAGTGGACGTGGAGGTGGTAGTAGGACGGCTGGTAGTGCAGGTACACTCGCAGTTTACTGGCTGGAAGCTGGTAGCGCTGCAGGATGGCTTCCTAGACCACAAGGAGACAAGTGTTGTTATTGTTTGGTTGACATTATAAAAATATCCAAGATTTTGTCTGATATTACTAAGAATATCTCCAACTACGACTCTACACAGAACTGAGATTGGTCAAGTCTTGTCTGAGGGCAAATCATGTCTTTCTTTGGCTGATTGATGGAAGCTGATTTTGACAGGGACTGGTTCATAAAATGCGAGATAAGATCAAATCAATCTTTATCCCCGTAGAGGAAATGCAGGTGTCATGGCAGGAACAGTGATAAGACTAAAAGACAGGATAGGAAAGGTAAGGCTTCACACAATGATAAGTAAAAAATAAGTGACATTATAGACTATATTTAAAGGTGTTTTAAATAAATAAAAATGTATGACTATGTTCAATATAAATACAACAAAAGTATCCTTTGATTTTGATTAAGCCTTATTGAAGCAATTGCCAAGATGTGGCGAGTAGTCTACATGGCGATTTAATCAACCTACTAAGAATTGATTGTAAGCAAAAAAGTTACTTTAAATTTGAATTATTATCGAGTATTATCATTATTTTTGTAAAATATTTTTTGTTTGAAGTTTGGCCTTTTTATTATAGGGAGACAGATATTAAAGGGGGAGAGAGCGAGAAAAACCAAAATAGCAACAAACGGTTGCGTTAGTTGAAGTTAATGATTATAATATTCAAGGTTACACGAGTACACCGCGGCAGAAAAAAAAGAGGGCATTTTTTCTACTCTTTTTTTCCAATAAGACCCCCCGAGGTGACTTTGTAAGCCCACCTTGCCCTTCTGGAAGATGGTCTGCAGCAGAGGGAGGTGCTCCTGCGTCAGGTCTCTGAGACTCCGGATGCCTCTCTGAAGTGTTATGGCGATCAGATATAAATCATCAACCTGGAAGAAGAAGAAGAAGAAGAAGACAGATGTTGGGAAACTGCACAGGTCCTGAGTCTCTTAAAGTATTGTTGTAATCAGATTAAATACTTTTCTAACACAACTTTAATTTACTTTTAATAACCTCAGGTTTGGAGCTCATGGGATTTCATAAAGTGTATTTATATTCCAGGTACCACCATGTCTTACCCGTCTCTTCCTGGCCTCTACTGTGGTCAATATGTATGGTGTCTCACCTGTTTCTGGTCCCATTTGAAATCTGGGAGGAGTAGAAATCCGACTGTTGGGTCTGGATCTTCAAAAACGATCCTGTCAGCCTCGGCCTTCTTCTCCAAGATGTTGTATACCCACTGGGGAAATAAAGGAATTCAAATGTATTTTACAGTTAAGTGTGCGATATTACGCCACTTAAAGCAGGTTACTAGTGCACTACAGGGGGAGATTTCAGGACACTGACCTGCACACTGAAACTCTGCTTCTGAATGTAAGGCAACGTGATGGACTGATAGTCCGCTCCCGTCTCTTCCACCAGGAAGCTCTCCTGACGCTGGTATTTCTTTATATGCTTCTCTGTGGCTGGACACACGACTGTAGTCTTTATCTCTGCAAAACAAACCCATCGATTATGTCAAAAAAATTGCACTAGCTTGCCAAAGTAGCAGTTGAATATACAATACCTTAAGTCTGTTTATTATTTTTAGATAATACCATTGAGTTGAGGGGGAGCCTGTAAGCGATACGTGCTGTAGATGTCGTTCTTCATCTCCAGCTTCAACGTTGAACCGGTGAAGAGCTCAGCCAGGGTGTCTTCTCTGATGGGGGTCTTCTCCAAGATTATCACCGCATCCTGATCAGCAAGCTGGTGAGGACATGTTCAATTTTTAGGGCTGGGCAAAACCAAAGCACATCACTCGGTTAAGGCAAGAAGTTGAAAAAGTCTGGTAAATTCAGAAAATGCACCCTTCAATCAAAACCAGTAAAATACAGCATGATTATCAGGATATCCTAAATCTAAAAAGATGTATTGTCTCACATCACAAAAATAAAATATTGATATTTTTAGCCCTGTGTTCAATTGTTTAAACACAACCAAAAAGGTATAACAATTAAATGTACAGCGTTGTCAGTCATTTCAAGAACTTCTTCTTCTTCAAGTCCATCTTAACAATAAAGCACTTTTACACAGACTCGTATTTTGAAATATCAAACCGGAAGTCAATGTTCCCTACTTCCTGCACAAACTCCTCAAACCACTTTGAATGAATACAACAATAAAAACATTTTTCCTTTGACGGTACCGATACTTCTTTAGACTGCATAAGCATAGCTACAATTAGTGTAATGCCGTCTGACAGTTAACAACAAACATCAGGTCACCTTTCCGTGGATGAAGATGTTTTTCTCCCGGGCTGAATCACTCAAGACTTTAGTCGTTTTGAACTCAGACAGAATATTTTCACATTCAATTTCCTTTCCAACTTCTCCTCCGCCATTCTCGTTGTCAGATTTCGCCCTCTTGGCTTTCTGGTATAATTCATCAGTTTCGTGTTTGGCCGCGCTGTCTGCCATGTTTCTGTGTTGCTGCTTTGTGGCCAAAGATCGTCTATGTAAAGAAGAACACTCACTTAACAACCGCCCCAAAACTATGGTGTGAGATCAGCCTCAATAAAAATACATTGACTTTGTGATTCAAATCAAATATAAATAAATGTCTCGAAAATAAACTATTTGTAGTTATTATATTGTCTTTGATATGTTAACATTGGATTGTATCTTTATTTTATTGCTTAATATCACCTTTTAACTTTAATAAAGCTTTCTGATCTGTGATGCCAATAAAGCTTGTATTCGTATGTTTAAATAAGATAGATACATGGATAGATGGATAGATGGATAGATGGATGGATGGATGAATGGATGAATAGATATATAGATACATAGATAGATAGAAGGTTGTTGAAATTGCAAAAGTTAATTTGGTGCAGAGTGAGACCTCAAGTCATCTTCCATCTTTAGGCTACAGCAGTGTCAGGTTGAAAAAAGAAACACAACACCGGTGTGGTATTGAAATGATTGACAGATAATTTGACTAATATGATTAGCGCCTTGGGGCGGGGCAACTGCTGAGTGGACCAATTAAAAACATTTAACGAGATAATAAGGAAGTTATTTAAAGAAAGCACGGACACGCTCATTTGTTTGGATACCAGACACTGAAACTCAGAAGGGATGCGAGATTAACTTCAAGTATTTGTGACAGATATCGTGTCGTTATTCCTCTCCACCGAACCAAAAATGTACATGGGTTTCCGAACATGGATTTTACTGCTGGTTTTTCACACACTGACAGTTGCTGTTTGGGCAAGACGAGGTAACGTTTCAGTTTGTACTAAGAACATTTTGAAAGCTAGAAAAATTGCATTAAACATGATGGCGAAGTTCGCACAATAACACAGACAGTTAATCTTGTTATTCTGTAAATGTAATAAAGGTTGTCTGATTTATTTTCTTTGCTGGCAGCGAAACGGTCAGTTTGTCTAATCTCAGTAACTAGCTCACATTAGCGGTTATTGAGTGGTTAATCGGTTTGTTTAGTGTCTGTAGCTACTGTAGGCTTATCTTAATTTAAGTAATGTAATTTAGTCATTACGTTTTACTTTGTTCATTAATTTAGTTGAAGGGAAAGTTTAACTTATTTTTGTGCTATTTAAATTCGTCACATTTAGTTTTGACATAGTATTCGTTTTGACATGATTTTACTCCTACCTTCTATTACGTTTTTATTGGAAGTTATCTTTAAAAAATGCCTGATTCCATAAGGTTATTTTAAAGCTTAAACCAGTGAAAAACAAGAATGAATTGTGGTGTTTTTTGATTTTCAGGGAGGAGAAATGTCCTTTTCATAATTGCAGATGATTTGCGGACATCATTAGGCTGCTACGGGGACGCTCTCGTAAAATCACCAAACATTGATCAACTGGCATCCAAAAGCCAGGTTTTTCTCAATGCATATGCACAGGTCAGTTGGTGTTGGTATGTTTACATGTCCAACGTGTATAACCCCATGGAAATCTTATTTAAAAGCAGTGTTTTCCTCTTTTAGCAATCTGTGTGCGCTCCCAGTCGAACGTCCATATTGACGAGTCGTAGACCGGACACCACCAGGCTCTATGACTTCAAATCGTACTGGAGAGTTCATTCTGGAAACTACACCACCATGCCACAGTACTTTAAATCTAAAGGCTACTTAACCTTGTCTGTGGGCAAGGTATTTCATCCAGGTAAGATTATTCATATACAATATTTGGATAGAACTATAATAACTTAGAGGAATTGATAGACTGTTGACTGCCATAAGAAGCACATGTCTAATTAACTCTTATTCTCTTTGGGTTTTCCCAGGGCCGGCCCTTGGCATAGGCAGTATAGGCGAATGTTAAGGGCGCATCAATCAATGGGGGGTGCAAAAAAGTTGAAAGGAAAAAAAAAAAAAAAAAGTTAGAAATTTAAAAAAAGATTATATATTTTTTAATTTCATAACAACACAATTTCTCGATTTTGGATCAACAAAGTACATCTTATTATCTTATTCTAACAGAACTACGCCTATATTGCGTACAGCGCCCATAAACTATGGCGCACGGGGGGTTTATGTGAAATAGTTCTTTTTTTGAAATAATGGTTTTAGTGTGCAATTATAGGTTTTAATTTTGTATTCGTGTTCATTTAAAATAAATCAAACTCCGAAAAAACGTATAGAGCTTTTATTAACATTGGAATTTACTGTGTAAGCGGCCACGGGGGGAAGAGCTTTAGAGAGCTCTCTCCTGAAAGACTGAGAGGCTCTGATAACCTCAGCTCAGTGAGGTAAAGGCACACCTTTATATGATCATTATAGTTATAAAAAAATAAGAGAATAGATTTTTATCTATTCTCTTATAGTATAAAATATTATATGACAGTAAACAAGAATACAGTTTGAAAGGGGAGTGATTTGTAAAATATCCATAAAGAAAAAGAAAATCTGCTTCCAGTTCTGTTTCATATGGGTGTTGAG